CGGAAGATGCAATGAGGCCTTTGTGTGCGACCTTGGAACTTGCTCCGTCACAAGTGCTAAGCTGAAAGAGGCGGTGGCAGGTCTTCGAATTGCTTGGGAAAGAGGCTACAGGAGAGTTCATCTCAATTTGGACTTTGCTACTGTAATTTGCATCATCAAGAACCATACTGAGGATGATCATCGCCACGGTATCATCGCCAAGGAGTTCAACTTTCTGTTGAGTTTGGATTGAGACGCCAAGGTTTCTCCTGTATTTAGAGAGGCTAATTTTGCTGCCGACTTCCTAGCAGATAGGGGCCATTTAGTTAATTTTGGTACACATCGATTCAATGTGTACGACCCTGAACTTGGACATTGGTTACTTCGCGATATCATGAGTATTTCTCATGATCGTCTGATTATTAATACGATTTGGACGCTGGCCATCGACTTCCTACAAACAAAAGCATGGTTTGAACAGACAAGATGATTTTGTTAAGAAAGATTCCATTATGGATGTTCATCCACTAGAACTTCCTTTATAGTCAGTGATAGAAATCGTTTTGCGGGCGAGGGAGAGAAGAACCTGTAGGTGCACAAATTCCCATCATTTGACTGTCGATTGAGCAATTTCAAATCTCGGTCTAGTGTTAGAAAGCATATCGCGATTTTTCGACCGTCCAATCGATCGCTAACTATGCTGTCGATTATTCGCTCACGTGTCACAGCTCGAACGAAGCTTTCTATGTCGATGAGAAGAGAAAGAAACGAGCTTCCTCACTATTTGTAGCGTCATCGTGGAACCATTGCTCCACCGCCGGCTGTACGCCAACACGCCACAGCTCGAACAAATCTTCCATTGTTGTCGCCATCAATGGTTGTGTTAATAATTCGATGCGAGGAAAGAGAAACGAATTGTGTTTGCTTGACTAGTGATAAAGAGACGAGCTAGATTTGTAGAATGAATGGTGATTAAAATGACTAAGGTCAATTAGCTCATAACAATAAGTCTACATAATAATAACTTTCTATTAGCTACGTACTAACTAGTATTATCACCCCAATAACAAATAAAGTGTTACTATGGTAATAATGTAGAATTCTGTTTGGAGGAAATTTACAATACTATATAGTATTGGTGTTATAGGTTTTTACCTTTATGGTATGATTTGAAATTGTACATTTAATGTTATGGTACAGTTTTAGATTATACCTACACAGTTTTGTACATATTCTTTATGATACAACTTGAACTTGTACCTTTATGTGATGGTACGTACCATAACATAAGGGTACAAATTCATTTATGATACAATTTGAACTTATACATTTAATGTTATGGTACAACTTCAAGTTGTACATTAAAGCACTAATACTTTGTAGCATAGTAAAATGGCTCGTCTCTTTGCTTTTTTTCTGTCATTCCTTCTCCACCAATAATCACATCACATCACATTTATAAATAAAAAAATTTCACAGTGAGAGGAATAGTTGACGAACTCATTTTACACACTTATCAAAGAACCCCCATGCAACAGAACCAATTCCGGCAGGCAGAAATTTACAACCCTTTCCCATGTTCTTCAATTTCAGGAGATTTTTCCAGAAATAGCACTGTTTAAAAAAAAATTCCAAAAATAGCACCCAACTCTGAAAAATTCCAAAAATAGCACCATTTTTGTAAAACCGCCACCCGGAGGTGCGTTTTTCGATGAAAACGCCACCCGAGGGCGCGTTTTTCGATGAAAACCGCACTGGTAGGGAGCGGTTTTGCAAACCGCACCCCCAGGGTGCGTTCTGCTTTTTTTTTTTTTTTGAAAAATCCTAACTTAGGTGGAAACTTCAAACGAACGTATCTTTATGTTCGGGTATCCGATCGTCGCGATTTTTTTTTTATTCCGCATAACTTTTTAAGATCTTGCAAACCGAAGACTGCCAAAAGTGGTTTGGTCTCGCCTTCATACCAAAAAATGTCGTTTGCTACCCCGAACGAGCTTTTTTCCGATTTCGTCAAACTTTGGACAACCGTAACTTTGTGCTCCAAATCCAAACGGCATGATTTTTTTTTTTTATTTCGCATAACTTTTTAAGGACTACAATTTTTACTAGGAATGTATTTTCAAAACAAGAATTATTTTTGGATATACAGGATTTTGGGAATAGCTTATCTTCCCTTCTCAGCAATCCACGTATAATTTGAAATTATGTCTATGATATAATTTGTATTCCTTAAAAATTTATGCGAAATAAAAAAAAAAATTCATGACGTTTGGATTTTGGAGCACAAAGTTATGGTTGTCCAAAGTTTGACGAAATCGGAAAAAAGTTCGTTCAGGGTAGCAAACGATATTTTTTGGGACGAAGGCGAGACCAAACCACCTTTGGCAGTCTTCGGCTTGCAAGATCTCAAAAAGTTACGCGGAATCAAAAACAAATCGCGAGGATCGGATACCCGAACATAAAGATACGTTCGTTTGAAGTTTCCACCTAAGTTAGGATTTTTCAAAAAAAAAAAAAAAAAAAAACAAAACGCACCCTGGGGGTGCGGTCTGCAAAACCGCTCCCTACTAGTGCGGTTTTCATCGAAAAACGCGCCCTCGGGTGGCGTTTTCATCGAAAAACGCACCTCCGGGTGGCGGTTTTACAAAAATGGTGCTATTTTTGGAATTTTTCGGAATTGGGTGCTATTTTTGGAATTTTTTTTAAACAGTGCTAATTCTGGAAAAATCCAATTTCAGCCACATCCAATAAAAATTCAAGAAAAGAAAAAGCAACCACTTGGAACCATCTTCTGCTTGTTCCAGCAAGCCTCTGCCCCCGGCCGGCTACTCTGCTAAATTAATTGAGGCGAGAAATTTTACAATGTTATATAGTATGGGTGCAATAAGTTTTTGCCATTATAATATAATTTGAAATTATACCTTTAACGTTATGGTACAACTTCATATTGCAACTATACTTTTTGCACAAATTCTTTTATGGTATAACTTGTACTTGTACCTTTATGTGATGGTACAACTTCAAGTTGTAAAGTTGTATCATAACATAATGATACAAATTGATTTATAGTACAACATAAACTTATACATTTAATATTATGGTACAACTTCAAGTTGTACATTAAAGCACCAATGCAATATAGCATAGTAGAAGTGCTCTAATTGAGGCACGTAATTGGTAAGAACCTGACTCGCCAGAAGCTTGTATGCCTTCTCCGACGGATGGTAGTTGTCCCAAAACACATATTTGGAAGCATCCGGGCAAGTTAAGAGGGGCTGAACTTGTTGCACGACACCGAAACTTCGAGGTTCCCCGTCCCGCGGCACCCTTTGTTCGCTATCTCGAAACCTAAAAAAACGAAAACACCCTACGATATCAAGCAAAATACTAACTTCTACTCTCAACAATCTGCCAGACTGCCACCAATCTTGAAACTACTTTAATCCCTTACTTTCTACTCGATAGTCAACTCACTGATTTATAAACTTAGGATTGTCTTACCATAGGATTGATAATTGTTGATGTGGACGACTCTAGTAGTAGTGTCCAGGTTTTCCTTTAAGAAATTCAATTTCGTTGATAACTTGGAGTTGAACAACTGCGACGCCTCATTATATTTTTCGTTGCACTTCCTTTCTAGTCCGCCTGCACCCGTTCTGCTAGACGGAATACACTTAAGCGGAGGCGCTCCAAACACTCCAAATATAGATAAATTCGGTACGGTATTCGGTATATCCCAAATACCTGTACCAAACTTCCAGTCCTAGTCATTTAACTACCATGGTCACCATTATATTATTTGCATCTGCTTACCTATTACCTATATCATTTAATTTACTATTTTAATTTTTAAAATTGAATTGAGCACTTTAATTTTATAAGTTGGAAATCTATTTGTAATATATGAAAATTAACATTAAGAGTTGGATTTAAATATATTTTAGTTCTTACTATATATTATATTCAAATACAAACTATTATTTTTGTGTAATATTATATGTTATTGCACATATTTTAGATAGAATTTGATATAATTTATATATAACGTAAAAACTTCTTTCATATATTCGGACTAAATCGGACTAAAATGGGCTAAACCCATCAGCCCATTAACGCTTCACCCACCAGCTCGACCGGGCCAACGGACCAAACCGAGTTGACAACCTTGATTATCATCCTAATAACAAATAAAGTGTTACTAGGGGTGGGCATCCGGTTCGGTAAACCCGAACTGAAACCGATATATTGCTATTCGGTTCGGAAATCGGAAGGAAAAAACCATAGTTCGGAATACAGGGTATGCACATCTGAACCCCAAATTCCGATAAACCGACCGAATAACCGAACTACCTCAACCTTGCCCCTGATCGGCCATCCAACTCCGACGACTTCCTCTACGACATCCAACAACATCTGCCGCCACTGGTCCAATATTCCATCTCGGGGAATCTGTAGAGGGTGGAGATTCGGAGAAGATGAATCTGGTGGCTTCCTCGGCGGCCTCCAACAGCACCCGCCGCCACTCGTCCAATCTTCCTCCTCCGCCTGCTCCTTGCGGCCAAATCCAGCCTACTCAAAACCACCTGCTCCTCCCTACAAAACCCAACCTCCTCGAATCCACCTACTCTTCCCGACGAAATCCAGAGACTCCACCTACTCCATCAGCGAGCAAGCGGGGAGCAACGACAGCGACATCAATGTCGGCAAAAAAAAAAGATGATGAAAAGGGAAAGCTTGAATTTTGAGGGAGAATACTAAAAACCTAGGCGGTTCCGCCTCCTATATCTCTCACCATCCACCAAAATGATGCAGCCAGGACCGGCCCAAAATGCAACATCCCAGTCCCAGCAACGACACAATCCAACTTGTCGGTTTTTGTCACAAACCCAAACCGAACCGAGTTATAATTTGGTTCGACCGAATCGAATTGAATTATAATTTGGTTCAAATTCGATTAGCCACGTGAGAGGAAGCGGATCCTTGATAGTACTCTATTTTGTTCGGTTCAAACCGAATCGATCGAATGCCCAATGCCGACACTGTTACTGCTTACTATGGTGATAATGTAGAATTCTCTTCCCCTTTTTTCTTCTCCACCAATCATCACGTCCCATTTATAAATAAAAATTTCACAGTGAGAGGAATCGTTGACGAACTCATTTTACACACTATTCAAAGACACCCCCATGCAACATAACCAATTCCGGCAGGCATAAATTTACAACCGGAAAACATCTCTTGTCACGGTAGGTGACAAAACACATAATGACAATTTATTCACGTATTTTTTACTCATTCACGTCATTTGGTGTGTATTCATGTAATACTATGTTTATCCACATAAAAGTGTAAGTTATTCACGTAAATGAAAATTCAGACTTTTTCCCCCCTAATAATTTGTATTGGCTATATTTTATGGAATTAAATTTGGATTCTCAATTAGTTTGTAAAAATATGTTGCATTGATAATAATCTACACAATGACATCCATTTTGATATATTTTAACGTCTAAAATTTAAGTTTACAATGGCGTGAATAAATAGCAATATGCGTGAATAAACACCAGGTTGCGTGACTAAACAATATTGGTTGCGTGAATAAGCAACACTCTTACATGAATAACATCAATATTGGCGTGAATAACACAAATATGGCGTGAATAAATGAAAAATGCGTGAATTAGGTGTTCTTGTCACCCTGTTTTTCAATTTCAGCGACATCCAATAAAAATTCAAGAAAAGAAGAAAGAAAAAGCAAGCATCGACTTGGAACCTTCTTCCCCTCGTTCCGGCGTAGCCTCTGCCCCCGGCCGGCGACTCTGCTACATTAATTGAGGCACGTACTTGGTAAGAAGCTTACTCACCAGAAGCTTGTATGCCTTCTCCGACGGATGGTAGCTGTCCCAAAACACGTATTTGGAAGCATCCGGGCAAGTAAAGGGGCTGAACTTGTTGCACGACACCGAAACTTCGAGGTTCCCCGTCCCGCAGCACCCTTTATTCGCTACCTCGAACCCTAAAGAAAACGAAAACACCCTACGTTATCAAGCGAAATACTAACTTCGACTCTCATCGATCTACCACCAATCTTGAAACTACTTTAATCACTTACTTTCTACTCGATGCAGTGATTTATAAACTTAGGATTGTCTTACCATAGGATTGATAATTGTTGATGACCTCCAGGAGGGGATTATAGACGTCGATGTATACGATTCTAGTAGCAGTGTCCAGGTTTTCCTTCAAGGAATTCAATCCCGCGGATAATTTGGAGTTGAACAACTGTGACGCCTCATTATATTTGTCGTTGCACTTCCTTTCTAGTCCGCCTGCAACCGTTCTGCTAGACGGAATACATCCGAGCGGAGGCGCTCCAAACACTCCAATTCTCCGGGACCCGACTGAATACAGATCCTTCCATCCCAAAGGAAAGGGGGGAAAATTATTGAGCCAAATTAATTAAATTGAAAACTATAAACGTCAAAAATTGTATATTTCGAGATGTCATCGTACCATAACGAAATTTGTTGCGGATTTGACCAAAATGTCGGCGTAAGTAGGGAAGTCGTACTGGAGCTCCCTCAGGCGAATGTTGAAGTAAGTGTTGGCTATGTCGTTACTACTCAGAACGATTATAACTAAGCTATCGGCCAAGAATTTGGCTGTTGCTTCTTCTCCAAGTATAGCTTTTACCCTGCTTGCGTACTCTTTGAACTCTCTCAGCTGTTCGCTCAATGGTGACACCGACTGTGAAGAAAATGAACATAAAATTTACGAGCTAACTTCCACCGGAGGGTTGTGAAACGAATTTACGATACGCCATGTCAATAGAAGTAAAATTTTAGTTTATATGAGTTTTGCATTTATACCGCGGTTTTTGAGGATAAGTCATCGTATCCGACCCCGCCGGAAGCGAAGCAAACGCCGGTGAGTAGATCCTCCGGCGTCAACTTCGGGTCCTTGTACGGCGGTAGAGTGTCCTTAATCCCAAGCTCTTCCACTGCCCAAAAGGAAAACAGAGCAAACCCAATTTCAGCGAACCCACCAAATTGGAATTCAGGATTCGGTGAATTGAAACAATTACACGAACCTAGGAAATCGGAGGGGACTTTCCCGTTGGAGAATCTTCCGGTGGGAACTCCGCCGTAGAAATCCCTGCCGTAGGGCGGGAAATTGCACCTGGCAGGGGAAGTCAGGATCTCGTTGTTGTTCCCCGTATCCACGATCGAATCCCCGAACACTAAAGCCGCCGGTATTTGAATCCGGGAGGAAGCGGGTCCGGCGACGAAGAGGAGGATCAAACCCACCAGCAGAACTGCAAACGAGGAGAAGGGAATTGATGAACTCGTCATTGCTCTGCTCTTAAACCAAAAAGTATAAAACAGAGTAAGCCTTTCTCTCCCAGCACACTCTGTTCTCTTGATTACTCTGCCGAAACGAAAGCTGTAAACTTTCTGTATAAATTGGAGTGCCATGGAATCACAGAAGGAGTAGTGGCGCTTCATTTATGGAGGGGAGGTAAAGGAAACTGTAATTGCTTAATTTTTCTTTAATGAAGTGTTGCCTGTATCCACTGACTCAATGCCACCTTCCCCTGTTTCGCCGATTGTCCAATTGGGTTTCGCTTCTTTCTCGAAGAACTTCAATGTAGGAATTTGGTGCAAGTATGATAATTACTTCCATTTGTGTAGATTGATTGAATATGGTGGTGGTAGGCATATACAATTGTGGCTGTATTGAATGCGGGTAATCGATTTTGCCATTCTTTGCTGAGCCATGCACTGCAAGTAAGGAAAAAATTCAATAAAGCACATTTTGCTTGCGGTGAAGAACTTACGAATCCGGTTTTGCATGTGGGCATTGTCATGGGAATTTATTTTGTACATCAACACTCTCAACTGCTAGAGATTTGGCTTTCCTCTGGCCACGTTGTGTTGTTTAACAGATCAACTTTCCCACCGTATCATAATCGAATGGGGCTGCGCCAATGGTCACATAACCTGGTGGTAAGGTAGGTGGACTGGTGGCCGAAAGGTGTCAGATTAGATCTTTACCCCGTATTTGCCCGGATTACTAGCGAAGTTCCCGAAGTTTGGCCTGATTACGATATCATCGAAGGTGGTAACCGTGGAGAGTGTTCCTTGTCATAATAAAAATTGGGGGCTGCGGAAATTTGTACACTCGGAAATGAATGTGAACATGCAACTGATGACTGCTGCCACCTTATTATGTCAAGTTGGAGCCAATTGCTCTACAAGCAAAGGGTTTGCCTTAATGGAGTACATAGGATAGGACGGTAACATTTCCATCTTTTTTTTGCCAAACAAGTAAGTACACCTCCTGGCTCCTGCCCATGTGTTTGATAATAAAACATGTATCTTTTCCTTTTCCCTTTTCATTTTTCACTCTTGGTTGGGATTGCAAACTTTTGTATGAGATTAGCATCTAAAAAGTGGATAATCAATAAACAAAATGGACTATTATTATTATTATTATTATTATTATAAAAGAACAAGTAAGAAGTTACTATTGCTAGTGTCCCATTACAAGGGGTGGTCTTTTGTAATTGACCAAAGTTTGGAGAAGTTTTATGCCATTAAGGTTCTTATCAATTAATTTTATGTTATTTTTTGATAATGGTGATGATTTTATTGAACAAAGAAATAGTTACAAAGAAAGAAACTAAACATAACAAAAATGGATCAAAATAACTTGATCCCAAACAAGAAAAGGCAGAGTAAAGATGGTCCATGAGCTGCTGAAGGGACCAGGCCCTCCCTGCAACTCGTCCGAAACACCGAAAGAGACATTGAGACAATGAGACGAAACAAGCCAAAGCAGGAACAAAGCATCAAAACCGAGAACACAAGAGCAGCCCGGTCTTAGCAATGAGCTGCCAGCAGATACAGCAAAGCCCGATGCAAAGTCTACACAGACAAGAGAAACCCATCATTCAGCCTGATGTATCTGTGCTCTGAGCCAAGCAGCGGCATTCGTTCGATCAATTTTTCCTTTGGCAACAGCCCATCCAGCAACGTTCTTCAGTATTCTCCTTGCTATCTGTTCCGGGCTCTTCACGGTATCATTGAAGATTCTGTTGTTACGCTCCAGCCAAATAAACCAGCAGGTTGCATGAAGAGCACAGTAGCAGAACCAACCTTCCACGCAGTCAGGTACATCCAAAGGCCACTCCTTGATTATGAATGCAATATCTTCGCTAATGGGGAGGTTGTTGTGGTTGCAGCTTCTCCTTATCAGGTTCCATACTTGGTGAGTGAATCTGCAGCTGATGAGAAGGTGGTGAATCAACTCCTCGTCATTATAGCATAGCGTACATCGATTAGCGAGACTCCATCCAAGTTTTTGTAGCATGTCGTTCGACAGAATCTTGCGATGTACCACTGTCCAGATGAAGAAGCAAATCTTCGCAGGCACCATCTTTCTCCACACAGAATTCGCCGGGAAATTGGGAACGCCAAGATTTTTGCCTTCCATGAGAGTTCTGTACATAGAATGAACTGAAAACCCAGCTTCCGAATCCGGAAGCCATACCATTCTGCAAGGACTGAGAGTTTCACGATGTCATTGATCCTTGCCTCCAAGAACGATGCCGCAGCAGCTACCCGAGGAAAATTATCAGCCAGGCAGAGATTCGGTATCCATCGATCAAACCAAAAGGAAACATGAGCCCCGCTACCAGGTTCTATCTGAGCAAACTTCCAGAAAATCTCAGACTCTTTCACTATGTTCCCCCATATCGAGCTTGATCGTCTTCCCTGCACATAGCTCGATCACCACTGAGATGTTTCATTAGGATACTTTGTGTTAATCAGTCCTCTCCACCATCCATTCCTGTTAATACCAAATTTCCAGATCCATTTGCACAGCATTGCGCTATTAAAAGAGGAAAGATCCCTAATGCCCACACCCCCTTTATCCATGGATGATTTACATACCTTCCAATCAACCAAAGGAATTTTCCTCTTATCACCATCACCACTCCAAAGAAAGTTCCGCTGCAATCTTTCCAAATCATTTATCACCTTCTTAGGGGCTTTAAAAAGAGTAAAGTAATAGTCTGAGAGGTTCGATAAGGCTGATTTGATGAGAACTAACCTCCCACCGGTGGATAGAAATCTGCTGCTCCATCGATCCAACTTCTTTTTATAGTTGTCAACAATTGGAGACCAGAATGAATTACTATTGAGCTTATTCCCCAAGGGATACCCAAGATATTTAAGAGAATCGCTGCTCCATTTACAGCCCAGGATGTCAGCAAGGAATTCAGGTTCCGGAATATCCCCTATTGTATACATAACCGTCTTCTCAAGATTGATTCTTAGTCCTGTCACAGTTTGGAAGCAAGCCAAAGCCAAAGTTGCTGAGATATGAAGAATTTGATCGTGGGACGCATCACAGAAGATGAGAGTGTCGTCCGCAAACAACAAATGAGTTACTTCCCCTTGCTGTCTATCCTCATCCATGAAGAATCCCTTGATTTTTCCTTCTTCCTTAAGCTTAGACAGCATAAAAGAAAGTATGTCCATGACAAGAACAAATAGACCAGGGGACAGCGGATCTCCTTGTCTAAGTCCTTTAAAAGCAGGAAAGAAACCTTTCGACTCTCCATTGATCAAGATTGAGAGGGTTGGCGAGCACACAGCACTTTGAATCCACTTCGTCCACTTTTCTTGAAAACCCAATCTTCTAAGAACCTGAAATAAACAGCCCCAGTTCACGTTATCAAACGCCTTCTCGATATCAAGTTTCAGCATTAAGCCTGGTTTCCTACTTCTCTTTCTGCTGTCCACTAACTCATTTGCGATGAGACCAGCCTCTGAAATTTGCCTGCCCTGTACTGAAGCCTGCTGGTAAACTGAGACCAAGGAAGGGAGAACATGACTGAGCCTTTGCGCTAGCACCTTACAAATCAGTTTGTTAATGCATCCCATCAACCCAATTGGCCGTAGATCCTTGACATCTTCTGTAGCATCCTTTTTAGGGACTAAGCATATGAAAGAATGTGTAGAGCATTTAGGGAGGGTACCTTTCTCATGAAACTCTTGGAAAATACTTAAGATGTCTGCTCTCACAACTTGCCAACATTTCTTAAAAAAATCGAAAGAGAATCCGTCGGGGCCCGGGGCTTTGGAGCCATCACTTTCTGAGATGCAGCACCAAATCTCCTTCTCGGAAAAAGGGGCCTCAAGAAGGGCAGCATCCGCAGTGCTTAGGTGACTCAAGGTATAAGGATTTGGGAAGGGACGATACTGGATATCTTCAAGGAAGAGATTAGAGTAGAAACCCACCACACCTTGAGCTATATCATCAAAACCTTCATGCATTGTTCCATTGATTTTGATCCGCCATATAGAATTCATTTTCCTCCGAAAGTTGGCCATCCTGTGAAAGAAGCCGGAATTCTGATCACCCTGTTTAAGCCAGACCTCCCTGGACCTTTGTCTCCAGCATATTTCTTGCAAGAATAGAGCCTTTTCCAACTCCAACTTTTTCATAACAAGAGCAGCAACTTCATCTTCAGATAATGGGCGAGATTCCTTAACCAAACAAAGGTTCTTGATATCACTGAGAAGATTATCCACTTTAGAATGAATGTTGCCAAAAACCTCTTTATTCCAAATTTTAATATTCTGCTTCAACTCTTTTAGTCTTCTGGAGAATCTAAATGCAGCTCCATTACCTTGTACAGGGATTGAGTACCAAGAGTTTAATCCAATATAAAACATGTCATCCTCTAGCCACATATTTTCAAATCTCCATGGTCGATTAACTTTCCTCTGAGCACCCCATTGAAGGAGAAGAGGGGAGTGATCAGACTCGACCTTTTCCAAGCCTGCCAATCTACAATCCATGTATAGCGAGTCAAAATCTGGAGAAATAAGCACCCGGTCTATACGAGACTGAGAGTTGCTGTTCTCCCCTAAGCTCCAGGTAAAACGGCATCCACTAATAGGAATGTCCATGAGATTATTGTCTTCAATGAAGTTGTTGAAATAGTTCATCAAATCAGTGCTTCTTCTTCCTCCCTTGTAGTCATCATGAGATCTCACCATGTTAAAGTCTCCAGCGATGCAAATAGCAGACTGATGGTTTTGGCAGAAGTTGTGAAGTTCATTCAAGAAGTTCAGCTTATCTCTTCTGTCTTGAGGACCATAAACCGTGACGAAGTTCCAGGTTTTCGACGACTGAATTTCTAAAAATTCAACCTCAAGATAATAATTCCCCATGCTGCTCGACAATTTTTGGAACCGACTTTTATCCCAGCAGATTACAATCCCTCCGGAGCTGCCACACGAGTCTTTAGCAATCCAGTCCATGTTTCTCAAGCTACAAATGCTTCCAATAAGAGAGTCATTACAAGAGGTCCATTTCGTTTCAATCAGAGCAATAATGTGAGGACCGCGTCTACCGATTAAGTGCTTGATGCGACTTCTCTTGCCAGAATCACAGATGCCTCTAACGTTCCAGATAAAGACTGAGGAATTCATTAAACTGAAGGGAGTGAAGAGCCCGCACCCAAAGTCTTCTTGCATCTTCTTGCCCCTGTTGGTGGAGGAGAAACAGGGCCTAAACGCCTTCTTTCCATCTCAAGTTTCGAACGGGGATTTTTAACTTTCCTCTTGTGCATTGAA